TAGCTAATTTAGGCCCGTTTGATAACTTTTTGTATTTGGTTTTTTGTTTTTAAGAATTAAGCTTATAAACATTACACTTTCACCTATGTGTTCCTTTGTTTTGTTATATAGTTTTAATAAACATTTTCAAAATCTAAGCCAAATTTCGAGAACTCAAAAAAGTAGTTTTCAAAAATTTGGCTAAAAATTCAAATATGCTTTCAAGAGAGTTGATAAACTTACTCATGAAATTGTACAAAAACAAGCATGATTTTTAAAAACAGAAAACTAAAAACGAAATTTTTATCAAACAGCCCTGTAATAGTTTCCATGTCACTTAGCTTATTCTTCAATCCATCTAGCACAAAGCTATTATTAGGCCAGAAAGAGAGGTAAAGAAAACTTGTGGTCTTGAACAACCATGGCTAGATTCTATGCTTTGATGAAAACCTAACTCCCTAGATTATATCACCACATAAAGATACAGCCTAAAGTGATCTATTATCTATTCACCAGCTAGATGTGGCTCTGGTTAATGTTAACAGGAATTTATTAGGAAATTTAGAATATAATAGTAATAATAATAACATAGCACACACGTCGAATGCCTACTTGGGATATTGCACTTGGAGTTAATACACGATAGTAAAACTTAAAAGATACAAACCAACACGAATCTACAGGATGAAGTTCAATTACTAAAGTGTGTATGTTAGTTGTTACCAGAAAAGCACAACACTAACTGATTGCAAGTCCATAATACATAAGTTAACGCAGTCTTCTGCTAGGCAAATGATAACCTTTACAGCACTAACCAATTAATTCAATGACCACATCCCCATAATGCTGATTACCTGATAAGAAGGATCCACAAGAACATCCCAAATTGTAGCGTTGAATGCATGATCTGATGTGGCACGAGCCATACCAATCAGCCTCTTTTGTTCATTCTCCTCTGTCAAATAACTTCTCAAAATACACTAAGATGTTCATAAAGACTTTCAGACGTAGAAGTAGAGAAAATGAATGAAAAATCACAACAAAATACCTGTAACAGGAGACCTCCGTATTGAATGCAATGCAGCTACCATATAACTGTTTCTAAGAGCTGCAGCTAATTTTGATAGCGGTCTGCGTGGCCAACCTACCTGTTAACAAAATATATCATCTAAGATACTTGTGGACTAATCGTTCTAATTAGTGGGCGCCACAAATTCACAATAACATCAAGGCCATAGATAGGGAAGAAAGTAGCAGATACTTTATTATTATTTTTTTTTCATAAGACAAATTAATCAAATGAAAACAAATTCCAGATCCTGGGCACATAATTCATAAATAAGCTCCTAGCATACAAAACTGATATTTATGATAAGGTGCTAAATCTGATGTCTAACCTTATCACAAAGAGCTTGAAGATCGTATATATCAACATCTCCACCTGAAGAGAATATTATTTGTTCAATTGTTCCATCTGGTAATGTCGTCTCGGTAAGAACAAACTCCTCAGGCAGGGGTTCTTCTTCCTCTTCCTGAAGCATGGAAGGAGGTTCAACCACTTGGGTAGTATTATTGTTCAAGAACCTGCAATCAGAAGCAAAAGCTCCTTTTTAAAATGAGTTGTAACCTGTGGATCAGGCTTATCAGTAGGACATGAAAGATGCCCACCAAGAGATTCAATGAAATTGAAATTTTAGGGAGAGAGAGAGAACCCATAATCACACCCAAATATTTAGAATTTTTATTTGCTTAGGATCCTCTGAGGGAGCATGACAAATTCCTTAGTTGATCAGCATAAAATACATGTCAACCAAAATAGCCGATACATACCAACAGGAAGACACGATAAAAGCAACATACTGTACACGTGGATTATTACAATTTTACTTCATAGGAAAAAAGATTATCCAACCACAATATCTACACATGGTCAAAATAACGATAAGGGGTCACAAATTATAGACAACAATTCTGAAAATAGCTATATCCTATATCTAAAATAGAAGGCCGACACAATAGAAGAGCATTAAAAAACGTGTAATCTAGAAATCTGTTGAAGCATGCTTACTACAAAATTGCAGTGTGTGCAAAAAGGTCACCACAATAGCCATATCTCCAATTACCCGGATTTGATAGAATCCCAGAAGCCAGCTTTGAGTCGACATATCTTGAGCTTTTTGCTCACTGCAAAATAGTACATACACACACAAAATTATCAGAATTAGCAGAAATAGATATAGAATTTCCACGAAACGTGAGACTGAAACTAATACTTCAAACTCTCCTTTTGAATTGAATGAGAAACAAAGCATCAAATCCCCTAAATTGATCCGGTTTAGCAACAAAAGAGATTCAACCACGAACTGATATAAAGTAGTATGGATACCTCTAGTGAACCCGTAGTTCAGATTGCGAGGAACCAGCAACGAGTTCGACCCTTTACAGTTACAATCCAACAGAACAACTTGGCATCTGCAACATTTCAACAAAAACAAAAAGCGACGAAATTAAGCTACAAAAACAATCAAAATCAGCTCCAGCTACGAAGAACAACTCAAAACTAGTAATCAGAGAAAGCAAATCTGAACAAACTCAAATGAACAGTTAAAATAGTTACGGAGAAGAGGTGGCGATGAGTTTTTGGGACATCATCTCCGGATTGGTCCAGTGGTGAGGATACTTAGAGACCTCGAATCCAAATCGGAGCTTCAGAGAAAGCGCCGGAGGAGAGGCGAGCAGTTGTAGTTGAAGATTCAATTGTGCTGCCCTCGCAATTGTCTGTTCTCCACAGAATTCCCCGGATAATCTGAAAAAGTTTATAATTTGCTCAAATGACTTCAATTAAAAAAATTGACTCAATTCACCAAATTTATTATCTGGAATATAATATTGAAGGGATAAATTACTATTTTAGCCTCAATCTGGAACGCAAATAAGAAGTCGCAATTTCCCCCCTTTTTTTTAATATTTTCGTTCGTATATTAGTCTAGGTTGAGGCTAAGAATCGTATATTCACTTCCCCCTTTTAAATTATAGTACCACGACTCAATCTGAACGTTCGTGATGGAATTAACACGACCATGGTTCGATGATTGTTAGCCTGACCATGGCCGTGATTGTTAGCTAGGTTGACCGTGGTTCTTGTTTAGCTGACCATGGCCGTGAAAAGTATAACCACAGTCGTGGTGTTCATGAAGACA